TATTTATTTTTACATATGTGTTAGCCTATTGGGACTCTTTGAACAGAATACCATAGATTGGGTGGCTGATCAACAAACAGAAATTTATTTCTCACAGCTTTGGAGACTGGGAAGTCAAACGTCCAGGCACTGGCAGATTCGGTGTCTGGTGAGGGCCTGCTTCCTAGTTCCCTGACATGCCTCTTTCCTTTGTGTCCTCCCAGGGCAGAAGGGGTGAGGGAGCTCCCTGGAGTCTCTTTCCTAAGGGCACCAATCCCATGCCTGAGGGCTCCGCCTTCTTATCTAATCATTTCTCAAAGGCCCTACCTCCAGATTCCACTTTATGTTGGGGATCAGATTTCAACACAGGAATTTGCGGTGGCGCGTGAGCACTCCCTCCACAGCCACGTAGGATAACAAGAAACCTCAGCAAACAGCACGTCCTCTAGACACACAGTATGGAAAGGACTTCTGATCCTATGCAATGTGGTCAGCCATCTGGACTTGTTATTTGTAGCCTTTTCTACAATATCCCTTTAAGAATGAGGATTAGGATACATACTCCAATGAGAGTAATCTGCCAATAAAGAAATAATTTTGTTTTATGAATTCTGAGTTGGGTCAGTTGCCACTAATATTTTGTTCTCTCAGCTGAACACATAATGAATTCGGGCGGCTAGTTAGATGAATGGTGCACCTGAAAGGAACTTCTTTAGAACAGAAACCAAAGTTGTTCACACTATCATTAAAAAGATAATGTAGCTGAGCTGAATTAACCTACTTCGGGATGCATTTCTTCCCAAGAGAAACGACAAAGTTATTCCTCACCAGCGGACCTCACTGCCCCCACCACAATGAGACATTAGGGATTAAATAACCTGGCGTTGCACTTATCACTGAACTACAAAGCCTTCAAAAAAATCCAATTACCCACTTAGATAACTAAAGAAGTGCACTTTTAAGGGCAAATAACCTGTTTCATAGAAGAAGTTATTTCATGTAAGGCTTGGTTTTAAATCCCAGCTCCGTAACTTACCGTAAAATAAGAAAACCCACTCCCAAATTATTATTAAATAATATATTAATAAGTATCAAGTACTTGTATGTATAAAATGCCTGGCACATAGCAAAGGCTCAGTGTGTGTTAGCCTGTATCATCATAGGGATGATTTATGTGGCTATGTTGTAAATATTTCTAAACATTACTTATAAGTCTTTTGGTTAAATCTTTTTTTTTTTAAGATTTTATTTATTTATTTGACAGACAGAGATCACAAGTAGATCACAAGAGATCACATCTCTATGCGCTCAGAGAGAGAGGAGGAAACAGGCTCCCCAACGAGCAGAGAGCCCGATGCAGGACTCAATCCCACGAAACCGGGATCATGACCTGAGCCAAAGGCAGAGGCTTTAACCCACTGAGCCACCCAGGCAACCTTTTTGGTTAAATCTTTTTAAGGTGATTAAGAAAAGGCTATTTCTTTTTGACCTTGCCAATTATGTTACAAAGTAGATTACCTTTGTAATGTGAGAACACTGTAGTTCTTGTTAATTTTTTATTGTTTGTTTCACCATACAAGACATCTAGTTTCAAACAGAACTTGGTCAGCTACTTAACTGATATTGAGTGGTGAAGAGATGGGTAGCGCAGCAAAAGTGAAAATGATTTTTTTCATCCCAGAAACCAGAACATGGCAGTGAGTGTGGGTAGTGGGTGGTGGCAAAATTTACAGGAAAACCCTTACCAGGGAGCACCCAGATATGCAGACCCTGAAGTACAGATTCTAATGGATACACTTCTGTATTGTACTGGATCTCACCACATAACCTTTTTTTGACACAAGAGAGTGTTGGTGAGGTTCTGGCCACAATCCTCTGGTTCCCTCAGAGGCTGATGTTTGAGCTCTGAACATGAGGAAGGCCTGAAGAACAAGAGTCTTGGAAGGAAGAAGACCGTGAGGTGATCTTGTGGATGTCGTCAAGAGTCAGCAGTAGAATCCTCATCACCTGACTGGCTGGGCCTAGTGACCAGGGATCTCTCTGTTTATTTTGCTGAATTACTTATTAGGAATGATTATCTGAGTGGCAACAGTTGTTTTTCTAGACAGCCACCCCCTTTCTCTTTTCATTAACATCACCCTTGAGTGGTAACTGGAGTTGGTTGAAACCAACTGATCTGGATTGAAGAGTTCCTGCCCTGTTCACACCATTTTGTTTCCTCAAGGCTGTCTCCAGTTTCAGTGAACACAAAAGCACTTGGTGGCCATTTCCTGCTTGAGAACAGCTGAGTAAGTAGGGGAGGAAGTAGAGGTTTGGCTGAGTTCTTTCCCGTGGGGTTAGGGCAGGGTGGGGCTGCTAACTTCAGCTTCTGCTTTTGTGGGGCTTGGTCTCCTGACTGGTTCCTCTTCGTCAGTGTCTGTAAAATACGTCTGAGCAGCCCCATCTAATCCCCTTTCTGGGAACAGAGGACGGAGGGTGCAAGGAGGGGCCAGCTCGCTTTGTCCAAACTCTTGGCCATGATTGTGCTCCACATTCTTAATTGGTCTCCTATCGGTTGTTAATCTTTTAAAGATCTTGTCAAACCTTTAAATAAAGGTCTGATTTAAATATTCCTTCTCTGAGGGACGCTGAGGCGGCTCAGTGGGCTAAATATTGTTTCTGTGAGAATGTTCTTGCCTGTGTTGAAGAAAGTTGCTTTGAGGAACATCTAAATGAAGCAATAAGTCCTGCTAGATACTGTTGGTGGAATCACAGCTTCTGATCTGAAGGGGGAGTCTTTGGGAGCCCTGAGGTTGGATGTGGTTCTGCCATTAACTGCCATGTTTCCTCATGTGTTTTATTTGATGTTGACATCATGCTTACATTATTTTATACTACTTTCCCTCATTACGTCAGTGTCTTTGGCTCTCCAGGCCTTACTGGTCCATGAAATGGAACCTTTTGCTCCCTTAGGCATGTCTGGTCTGTCCTGGTCATGTGATTCTCTCTGAAGCCCTTCTCAGGCTGTGTAAGATGATGCCACTTCTTCGCAGATGCTTGGGCCCTGGTGGTGCATCTAAAAACATTCAGCAAGAATCAAGAAAAACACAAGGCTTCAGCCACGCAAGTTCTCTGACTCTTCTCCCCATTTCTGTTACCATCACAAAGTTAAGGATTCTTTCATGCCCTGCAGATACGTTTTATTGCTAAAACGTGTAACTCTACCACTGCAATTTAAGTCTGAAAAACTACTTTTAAGCTGCAGGGCTCTGGGGGGGGGGGGGGGGGGGGGGGGGGGTCAAGCCTGCCTGGATTGGAACCCGAGGTCGGCCGCGCTCTGGCTCTGCGTCCGGGCGTCTCACCAGCTGTGACATGGGGGAACAGTGAGCGGCCACGGCCGAGGACGGGTGCGGGGCCTGTGTACCCGCAGCTCAAGCTACTGCTGCTTTCCTCTCCCTTCAGAGTAACAAGCGAGGGAGCGTACGGAGTGTTTGCTGTTTCCCGGGCACTGGTCAGACGACGGTCTGCGGTGTAGTTCCCAGGCCGGCGGCCTCTTCCCAGATGATGGATCAGGACTACGAAGCTCGATCGGTGTCCGGAAGGTCCCGCAGGACCGTCTGAGCCCAGATTTGCTTGTCAAGTGCCCGTTCCTCACGACGCGAGGTAAAGAGATGAAGAAAACCTATTTTTCCGGGTTGTCACGTTTCGGGGTTCCCGCTGCTGTTGCGTGACCGTGCGGTTGCGCGTGACCGTGCGGTTGTGCAAGGACAGACCGAGCCCGCGGAAGGGCGCCGAGGGGACGCACAGCGCACAGCAGTGCAGGGACCGTCTGAAGGGCCGGCGGTGCCCGTTCTGGAAAGTCACGACTGCGGAGACGGACGAGGGGGCGCCGGGACCAGGAGGGCGGGAAGGACACGCGGTGACACGGGCTTTCCGGGCCCTGAAGCGCTGCGACACTGTACGGTGGACACAAGTCACCGCACACCTGTCCCAGCTCATGGACACACAACAGCCAGCGCGGGCCCGCGGTGACAGCGACGTGCCGGCGTCGCTTCAGCAGCCGCGACCGCCGGGCTCTGCGGGGTGGGCGCCGGGGGCGGGGTGTCGGGGAGCGTCCGCGCTCCCCCCGAGCTCCGCTGGGAACCTAACGCCGCCCTAAAACTTCGCCCACTGAAGAGACTGCGCGGAGGGGACGAGCGCGGGGAGGGAGGGGACGGGCGCGCGGGGACGGAGGGGACGGGCGCGCGGGCGTGAGGAGGAGCCCGACTTCTCACCCGCCGAGTACGGGGAGGGCACGGCCAGGCCCGCGGGTCACAACGTCCCGGGGACCTTCGGGAACCCCTCACCGACCCTGGGACGAACAGACGCGGCCGAGGCCCCGCCCCAGCCTAGGCCTCCCCTCCGCCGAGTCCCGGCCGCGTAGCGCGGGCCCGCCCGTCGGCCGGCGCTTCCCTCCGCCCACAGCCGCACCGGCCTGCGCCTGGGCGCCCCTCTCTGAAGGACCCACGGGCCCTAAACACAGGCGCTGCCCCTTGTACCCGCGGGGACGACGGGCTAAAGCGCCCGGGGAGGGCCGAACTCCCAGCGAGAAAGGAGCAAGGACACCCCGCGCCGCTCGGCGACCGCCCGGAGCCGGCAAAAATCGGCCGAGCACCGCGGACGCGGCTCAGCGACGGCGGAAGCGGGGCGGGCGGGGCGGGCGGGGCGGGGCCCTCATTGGACGGCTTCGGGGGGCGGGGCTGGAGCGGACAGCCCGCGAGGAGCGAGGGAGGCTGCGCGTGCGACGCCGGCCGGTTCCGGACCCCTCGCTTCCCTTCCTGCGGGCCGGGCGAGCCCGGCGACGGGCGTGCCGACGCCCGTGACGTCACAAGGGGCGGGGCTGCCGGGGTAAGGGTCCGGCCGGCGCGCGGGCGCGTGCGGCAGTCGCTGTTCGGGACGGAGCGTGCGTGGTTGCCGCGTCTCGGCCCCGGGTTCGCTGTCACAGCCTGTCCCTTCCCGAAGCCTGGGACCTGCTGGACGCGCGCTCGCGCGTGTGTGTTGCGAGTGTGAGGGGACTCGGGCGGAGGCAAACCCTCGCTGCCTTTTTTGACCTTCCTTTTGTCCGAGGGGGTCCGTCCGGCTCAGGGTCGCTGCCGCCCCGCCGCAGCGCGCTTGGGTCCGGCCGCCTCTTCCTTTTCTTTGAAACTCGGGAGCCTTTTCCCCTTTTTCCGTCTCCGTTTTGGGCACTCAGTGCCGTCTGGGCTGGTGTCCCTGGTCCCCGACCGGCCGCTTCCTGCCCGTGCGCTCGTCGCCCCCGCCCAGGGTCTCCCCTGCGCCCCCGCCCCGGCCCGGGAGGTGGGAGGCTTCGTCCCCTCCGCCCACCCGCGTCTCCGCAGCCGTAGCCGCACCTGCCTCGGTATGAACGGGGGCACCGACCCTCCTCTTTTCATAAAAGACATTAAGCCCGGACTGAAAAACTTAAATGTCGTCTTTATTGTGCTGGAGATAGGTAAGTGGGGTCCGCCGCCAACCCCGCTGCCCCGCGCGTGCTGGGGCAGGAGGGGAGGGCGCCGCCGCCGCCAGCCCGGGGCTCCCCTCCTCCTCCTCTGCGAGGCCCCCACCCCTCCCCCCTTCCACGTGGCCCCGGTGCCCCCCCCCACCCCGGGGCTCGACCTCCTGCCCCCTGTCCACGGCGTGACGGTCCCGGAGGAGGAGTTCGAGCCTCCCTGAAGTCCTCGTTACCTAACACACCCCTCCCCCTTGCGATTTTAACTCTCCGCAGGACGCGTGACCAAAACCAAAGACGGCCATGAAGTGAGATCATGCAAAGTGGCAGACAAAACGGGCAGCATCACTATTTCCGTGTGGGATGAAATCGGAGGTCTTATCCAGCCGGGGGACATTATTCGGTTGACCCGAGGGTAGGTGTGCAGCGGGGTGGGGGGGGGCGGCGGGGGGAGGCTTCCTAGGTGACAGCCTGCAATCACAGGCAGGGGACCCTGACAGGTGCTGGAGCCCCTGTCTGCCCGGTGGCCCTCCGCGCAGCTTGGGGACCCTTTGATGGTCATTTTGGGTAGTGGACAGCTTCGGGATAGAGCACCCTCCCAGGAAAGCAGTCAGTTTGACCCTGGAATCTAGCCCACTTTCCCTCAGTGTACAGGTCAAACAGATGGTTAAATACATTTTTGGGATTACTGAGTGTGTTTTGTAGATTGGTAAAATTAGCATAAGTCCAACTACTTACTTTTTTTTTTAAATAAATTATTTAATACAGTTGTCAGCACTTTTCTAGCTTTTCCCCCTTTTTAGTGGCTTTTGAAATCCTGCCAGTATTTTGTTTAGACAGGACATCAGATTGTAGTTGGACAGTTTAGCAGGTCTGCGGTATGTCAAGTTTGTACCAGAATGGAAAAGTTAAGGGAAGTTCACAGTATCTGGAAGGCACATTCTGGAAGATGACTTCCGGTGCCTGCTGCTGTAAGGTCAGTGGAGTGCACAAACCAGAATGATACGCAGAAAAATGTTCAGCAGGAAGAAAAGTGTCAGATCACCCAGAACGCTGGAGGTTGGGTAGGCCCTTTGATAATACCTCCAGGCCTCAGAGCAGCTTCAGGAAGTGAGGCAGAGTGTCCTCAGAGAAGGAAGTGAGAGTCAGAGCATAGACATTTTATTCTCCTGCAGTGACTCATGACACTAATTGTGTCTTTAAACGTCCACATCTGTAGCTGACACAAAAGAGAATTCCTGCCTAGGAGGGTGTGGTGCGGATTAGCATAATTGAAGTTTTTCTGGCTGCCAGAATATTTCGCATCTATCTAATGTAGTGTAAACAGCATTTCATTTCAGATATCTCATTAATTTGTAGTCAGTGGAAAATACATAGGGATGTCTGTCAAAAAATTTGTGGAAAAACTAAAATCAAGTTCCATATAGTATTTATAGATTTTCAAGGAGTATAATTTAAAGGAAAATTCAAAACTAAAGAAACCCCACTATTGTGTAACTTCAATGTGACCTTGAGGTTTTTACACTTTGGTAATTTCCTCATCTGTAAAATGGGATTAATTACACCTTACTTAAAAAATAACATGTCTGGCCTATTGTAAGGCCCTTCAGTTCTAGTTGTATCTGTTGTTGACCTCATTCCTGAAACAAATGCAAGTTAAATGTTTACTTGTTGAAACTGCAAATTTTTTCTCAGCATGCATTAAGTTTTACATTACTAAGGTGAAATATTAGTGCACTGTTTTTCTTCTAAGTTGCTTTTTTTATAACATAAGAGTCTTTAGTGGATTACCCTTACTAAAGAGGAATGTATAATGTGGAACTAACTAGTCTTTATTAATCTATGTTAAAAAATGAAATACAACTACTTAGTTAACAGTATTTAATTATAATTTGTCATTTTTTTTTAAGGTTTTATTTATTTGTCAGAGGGAGAGAGCTCACAAGCAGGGGGAGTGGTAGGCAGGGGGAGAAGCGGGCTCCCTGCTGAGCAAGGAGCCCTGTTCAGGCCTGGGGACTCCATCCTGGAACTCTGGGATCTTGACCTGAGCCAAAGGCAGATGCTAAACCCACTAAGCCACCCAGGTGTCTCTATAATTTAACATTCTAGGTCCTAAAGTTATCATTGTAGTTTATAGAGAACCACTGAAAACCAAATTTTAGACTGATTTTACAATGTTTAATTTACATTTTTACTAGATTTTTGTGCAGGAATATTTAATGATGCTGTCTGCACTCTCAGAGTTAATCAGAGTAAATAATCTGTTCAGCTAAATTGATGCTAAAGATTGCAGGTTTGGAAAGGCAGATAGGTGAGATTTGTGATTGTTTTTTTAGGCCCTTGATTAAATTTTACCAAATTTTCAGTAGCTCGTGAATCCTCCTATGTGTTTTATAGAGAAAAAGGAAAAACTATTTTATTGAATAATCTGAGGAGACCAAGTAAATGTGTATAAAAGTACACACTTGTGTTGATCTATATATGCTATGATTGAGAAATAATTTCTGCTTGAATCTCTTCAATTGAAAGTTCTTTTGTTAATTGAAGATGTGATCTTTGGAGTATAACAATGCTTGCTTTGCAACAAGACTTTCTGTCTTCTAGGGTTGGTTATACTTTAGATAATTACGTCAAAATTTGGCAGTAGACTTTGTACTGTTCGTTTTTAAGTAACAAGTTAATCAAATTAGGCTAATTGATTTACTACCGTAGACAGAATTTGATGTCCACCTACACCCCGATAACAAAAAAATACAGTATAAAGTTTCACTTAAGTAGAAGGAAATACATGTATTTTTACAGAACAGATGTTTCTTCCCTTTCTAGGTATGCATCCATGTGGAAAGGATGTTTGACGCTGTACACTGGAAGGGGTGGAGAACTTCAAAAAATTGGGGAGTAAGTATTCAAATGCATTTCCTATAAGTGAATAAATTACACGTAATGTCTACAGAGTAACTGGTAGGTATAAACTATAAAGGATAAACTTCTTGGTTTTTCTGTATTGGTAAACCGAATGCCTTCAATAGCTTTGCTGTAAAAACAACTTTGCATGTACGTACCAGCTTAACAGCCATCCATGCTGTTTCCTGTGGTTGAGAAGATTAGTTTTCCCTGGCAAAGAGCATGACGTTTCACTTGAGATGAGCCCCAGTGGGGCCATTTCTGTAGAGTTTGGGAACACGTATCTTTTAGGTGTCACAGTGCAGTTTTAAATAGGTTCTGTCTTCTGGTGAAATGCCAAAGAAGAAGCTAGGTAAGAAGTTAGGTTTCAGGCCAACAGTTTAAATTTTCTTTTTTCATTTATGGGTGAATATGTACTCATGGTAAAAGGACTTGCAGCGATGACAATTGAAGTCCTGTATTTATCCACAGTCTAGGTACCGTACAGGCAGCCACAATGCGAGCTTCCATATACTCCTACCCTGGTAATCTCCACCCTGACTTGGAGGAGCCATCCTCTCTAGGGGTGTAAAGGTAATTTAGCCTCCATATTAGCTTAGACATTTGGGATGTGTTCATAAAGTATCGTGTTGGCAATGAGCCAAATCATTAGTCCATTCTGTGTGTAGGATATTTGAAGACCTACAGAAGCCATGCACGGCACACACACAAAAAAAATGTTCTTCTACACGGCAGGGATAAAATTGCTGGGAAAAGATAAGCAATCTTGCTAGCTTTTAAAGATCAGAAACTGGTAACACTTCGCTTTTGCGAGGAGAAAACGTTTGTTTTTAGAGCAGTATTAGAGCAACTTGTTATGAAAGCTCTTAGCGTCAGTATCATCAAAAGACGTGGGGTTTTTCCTGACCTTCATGTATATGGAGAAAGAGGTCAGTTATGTGAAGAACCAGTGGAGGTCACTCGATTCTTCCTTGACTTGACTTTGTCAGGGTCAGTCTAGGATATACCAAAACTGATTTTAATTAATTTATGGGGTGAGGAGCTAAGTAAATACTTATGTGTAATCTTCATATATGCTATAGTCAACTTACAAGAAGCAATCGAATAAACTGTTGTCTAATAGCCACATGTCTTTATCATGCCTGCAGGGTCCGCTCTTAACCTTGAATGATTATCTTTGCAGATTCACAGTGACTGGTCAAAAGAGGGACTGGATGGGAGTGTGTGAGTGGGTCAGTGCAAATCCATCACCACTGCTGGAAAAACCGCTCTGGAACCCTAAACACGGTTCAGGGACATCCATCTATGCGGAAAAACAGCACAGAGAGTGTCTCTGTGTCTTTGGTCTTTGACATGATTTAGTTTTTGCAGAACAGAAGAACTAAAATAAAAAATAGAATGTTTTACATATTGTGGACCACTGAGTATTTTAGAACACTTTGTTTTTTATGGAACATAGCATTTAGCAAGTTTTCGTTGTATAAATAGTTAACATGTTGCTTTTTAGTTAATTCATTTAACACCTAAATTCTTCATTCCTATAAGTTATGCATGTTATGCAAAGAAAGGTTGATTATTTTAGGAATCATTTAATGTGTGCTTTATTTTCTTTCAGATTTTGTATGGTTTATTCAGAAGTGCCAAATTTCAGTGAACCCAACCCAGATTATCGAGGACAACAGAGCAGAGGGGTAATTAATCCAAATGTATAGTCTGTTTATATGATTAGACTAATTTTGACAGGGTACTATAATTCTCTGGCTAGGTGTTCAACCCTGTCCTACCCAGAAATAATGAGGACAGTTTTAAAAAGAATATAAAGTCATTTTCATTCTGTATATTTTGTGAGTATATATACATATATCTTTAGTGTTAAATATATGTGCCATTGAGCACTTCGAGCAGTAGGGAGGAATCTCAGAAAAACACAGTAAGATACAAGAGAAGCTATAAAAGGTTTGGGAAACATTCCTGAATAGTAACATTGAATGGACTTGGATAAATCTTTTAAAAATTTGTTTAAAAAAACAAAACAAAACTGAAGAATGGATATAACTTGTTATTATAATAATGTTTTTTTTTTAATCTTCAATTCGTTAAATTAAAAACATATTTTTTAGGCACACAATGAGCAGAAGAATAATTCCATGAATAATAATATGGGTACAGGTACATTTGGACCAGTGGGTAAGATTTTTTTTTTTTCATATTTGTGATCAGGTGTTAAGAAATTAAGCGAGTGTATCTTATGAAAGATTAGAAGAAAACGGTCATTAGGTGTGCATTGACACTAAAAGGGAGCTGCTAGTCTACAGGGAATCCCCCAGGAAGTGATTTTCTAAATAGCAGATACTCTCTTAAGCTAACTTACTGAGCATATTCTTTTGTTTTTAAAAAAACATTTTTGTACACATGTATTTTATTTATCTGTTTAAATTCCTTGTAGTTAACACCGTGTTTTATTAGTTTCACATATGCAGTGTAGTGGTTCAGCAATCCACGGGTCAGTGCTCACGGATGCGGGTGCTGTTAAGCCCCTTCACCTGTTTGACCCACCCCCACCCACCTCCAGAGCACATTCTGTATTTAAACAGTGGCTGATAATAATAATAAGAAATCTGTTTTAGTGATGCGTAATAGGTTTTCCATTGATTTTTTTTTTCACAAAATTTCTATAATCTGGTGATTATTTATAATAGATGGAAAATTACTGCTTATTTTGGCACACCAAAAGCCTTTTATCTTGAATAGCTCACCTTAAATTTTCACACGTGCTGATAGCTGCCTCTTTAAAAGATTGGCCTTTACCCCTCAAATACTCTCAGAGGGCACGTTAATGGGTCTCTCAGCTGTGTCTTTTGAAGTTTTTATTACGGAGGAAAAGCTTTGGGATTGGAGTTGAGTTGGACAGCTCAAGTTCTGTTTGACCCGGTGGGTGCATGTTTTGGCAGAGCTGGTAATGCTCACATTGTGGGAAACTTTGCTGTCTTGTCCTTTGAAAAATTAGAATTACATTGTCCATTCTGAATTAATTAACCGTATTTGAACCTAATGCCAGTGTTCATACACTATTTTACGTTTTTCTTCTTTTTCCCTTACAATATTGGTGCAGGGCACTACTATGTTTTTCTTCACTAATTTCTCATTTTGTTCCCCAAACTGTTCTATTTCTTTCTCCATATTAATACAGCATCAAGTTAATATGTTTACAGTAATTACATGTTTGGAAAACTCAGAACGCACATTGAGTCTTTTCCAGTAGTTTAAAAATGAAGGCATTTGTTTTCTTTAATACTACTTGTAAACATGTCTTAGAACTTCAAATAGGTGTGTTACTATATATCAGTGTCTGAAATGGTGATGAATTTTTATATTCTTTTTTAGGAAATGGGGTTCAAGCTGGCCCAGAATCAAGGGGATGCCAGTTTTCATATGCTGGTAGAAGCAATGGCCGGGGACCTACAAATTCACAGCTACAAGGAACAGCTAATAATCAAACAGTCATGACCACAATAAGTAATGGCAGGGACCCTCGGAGAGCCTTTAAAAGATGACCTATGCTCAGTACTCACATGTAGTTTTTAAACTACACACCCTACTTGAACACTTACTGCACTTTTATTTATCGTTAACTGTGAAAACTGTGTCCTTTATCGGTTTCCTCTTATGTTTTGGGTTTGTTAACAAGAGTGGATTGTTCTTATAGCAAAACTGTTAAGCTGCTCAAGTCTCCTGTTGAAGAATTTGAAGAATGGGAAGACTCTGAAAAGTAGGGGCATTTATTTTTAGGGCAAAAAGATCAATGGTTATCCTCTAAAAACACGCCCCTGTTCCGTGGGTGAGTTTCTTAAGACATCAGCATTATAGCCTCTATGAGTCTGTCTTCCATATACATTTCGTAATATTTAAAGTAAGGCTTAGTGGGAGATGTTCTTTTGTCTTAAATTCAGGTATTGCCAACTGAAGCAATAACTACCAAAACCCCCCACAAAAAAACTCGGTCAGTGGTAATAGCAGTTTTTGAGTGTTTGTGACTCCAGGAATGATTGACTTCTTCATTTGAGTGACTGCCAAGAGGATTTTCCAAGGACTGAATCTTCTAAACTCTTGTTTTATTACCAAAAAGAATATATTCTTTATCAGAATTACGGAGTAGAATGGGAACTGTATTATAACAAGGAATTTTTATAAGAAAGCTGCATTTATTTTAGGGTAGTCCTATTAATACTTGTTGTCAACTTTGTGCATTACACTGAAGGGAAACTTAAAACCGAGGCCTTGAATATTTATTTTTTGAAACTACTATGTCACATATTAAAGTATAATTTGAGGGAGTTAAAAAGTCATAATATATACTGATCTAATTATTTTAAAAAATTGTGGTACGTAGATGAAGGCAATTCAAATTGAATTCATGTAGAAATACGCAGTCTTAAATTAGAGTGTCCTAGGTACTTGCAGAAACTCATCCTGGAGTGAAAAATCCTAGGTACTTAACTTTTATTTGAAAAATGTGTGTGAGTATTGTCCAAGTTTCTGAACCCAATTCACAAAGCCTTACCAGCCAAAGTTAAACGGCTCTAAGAAGTGCATACAGCTTTATTCAGAAATGTAAAGGTAGAATTTCTTTATGTGTTATAAATGACACCCAGTTCCCACTTTTTACTATAGAGTGCTTGGGTAACTGGTAAATTTTTCCTTTGTTGGAATTCAGTTCTTCCAAATTAGCCCCAATAAAACTTGCATTAATGTTAACGGACTTCCCTTATTTTCGCTCTTTCAATGATTTGCAATGGAGAGCCAGTAAATTTTACGGTAGTTGTAATGATTACTTCAACCTGGGGACTGCTTAGCTCTGGGCTTATCGCCTTTTGTCCCTACCTTAAATCACAATTTAAGTAGACTCTGTTTTCTAAAAACGCCATAGCCTTTGAATATGAAAATTGGTACTGGAATATTTGTTTCTCCAATTCAGTGTGTCTTAACGAATTGCTGTACACACTGAGTGTGAGACACTGGGGAGTTAAGGGGTTGGTGATGAGTCATCTCAAGGAGCTTATTCATGGTTCATAGTACTTTGGTAACTAGGGTTTATATATTCTAGAAGTTTTTCTTTTAGCCTTAACTCAGTGAATTTGGCTTTGTGACTAATATCTTTTTAAGATACAAGAAAACATGTTGGAAGTAAAAATTTACTAAAAGCATATAAGTTTTTCTTTAAGTAGGGGTAGGAGCAATAATACTCAAGTTATTTGTGTGAATATGGTGTTAAAGATGATTTTAAAAGAATTTTGGAGTTTCAGAAAAGTAAACTATCAGGTGGGACAGCTGAGCTTCTAGTCCTGGCCCATTGTCTCCTCACCTATGATGGACAAATTATTACACTTAAGATCTCTATAAGCCTTAAGTTCCACAAATATAAAAACAAGTAATAGTATCCCTTTAGAGAGTTACAGAAGATTTTCCACGTAAGTGATTAGGGTGATTTCTGGCACATAATGGGCAGTCAAAATGTCATCTGATCATACCTCAAGAATAGAAGAAAATGCAGCGTTAGGTGTGGAAATACTGTTATCCTTTAATGTGTTGAGATTAAATAGAGAACGATCTAAGCTGTTAATTTTGTAATTGACATTTGCCTCAATAATCTTCTTGTTCTGTGTTACCATTTATTAACAGATCTCTTTTTTCTTAAGGGAAGCCTCCAAAACCAAAGCAAAGGGAATTACAGTGCATAACGAATGTTTGCCCCACAGTCTGCTTGGACGGTTCTCAACAAGAAGAGGAAGAAAGTTTTCTACCTTCCTCTTCCCTGGTGCTTTCACCTGTGAATTTTTAAATGTCTAAACACCTACCAAAGACAAAACCACTTAGTTTAGAAATACACACCTACTAGAATTGGGCCCCATCTCATTTCTACAAAACAGTTCTGAAGTAGTTTCAAGTCTGGTCAGCCAGCCGGCCTCTGCTCTCTGGGACAGGATTTTGGCCGGTGGCTACAATACAGAGACGGGAGAATGAACCTCACAAGGCCAGAGAATGATGAGTAATAGTGAAGGTTGCGGTGTGCTTTCCCAAAGGCATTTACACAGGTTTTCCTATATATACCACCTCTTTTTGGCTTTGTTCTTGCGGGCTGGGGTCTGTGGCCCCATCCCACCCCCCGCAGGTAGTCTGCTATAACTGTGAGGACAGTTTAACTTGATTCCCTGAATATTTGTAGTACTGAATCCTTGTCATTTGTATTTTTTTTATTAACATTTTAAAAGAATGTTACATTTGCTGGGTTTAGTAATAATGCCAAAGGGATGATGCAGAACAAATAGATGGGAGGTTAGTAAAAAAAAAATCACAGCAGTATTGAGAACATTTAAAGTCTAGGAAGCTGGTTACGTGGCCCCACAAAGTGTTCTCAGAGGTGCACACTGGCCGTTTCTGCAGCAGCATGGAGACACAATGGCAGTTTTCAGTTTATATAGATCTGGCATTCCAGTTACCCAAATGACTTCCCTTTTCTATTGTGAAAGTAAGTACTGTTTGCTCCACGAAACCTTAGGCTCCAGTGACTCGTAAGATCCTTTTCTTTGATGTACTTGGAAAGGTTCTCCGACAGCAAACCTTGGAAACCACAGGAAAGCAGTCCACACGGAGCACTTGCCCAGTGTCTCAGCCTCTAGGCGGCTGTGTGGGACTACTTGCCCTATGATGGCTTTTGTAAAAATCTCTCTTGCCTTTTCTTTAATTTCCCCATCTGATGAGAATGTCTTCACATTTCTGGTAGAAAAGGGGGTTATAGAGGGGTAAAGGCAGGTGTACTTGGCTGTGGTGAAAACCAGGCTTCAGCCAATGATTACATGTTAGGGTAAAGAAACACTCCCTCATTTCACAAAGTCATTGTAATGATTGAGACTTAAGGTATGCTTCTGAGGAAATCAGTTGTGACCTTTGGAAAATAGCACTGTCATGAGTGGTATGCTGTAAGGCCCTGAGGGAGAAGCTTAGAAAAACATTTTACTTCCCAGGCCTATTAAACTCTTTTCCCAATTCCTTTGCTTTACTGGGGATACACCAGAGTTTGTGTCTAAGTACTATAACCACATTACTCCAGGTTTCTGAGCTAAAAGGGTCGAACGATGTCTCTTAAAGCACAGATCGCAGACTAAGAAACAGACTAGAGAAAAGTCCATAGACTGTCCCTAATAAGCCTTAGCACTTTCTTCATTAAGAACATTAGACCCAAAGATGTTCCTAGGGGCTCTTTACCACTATGAGGTAACTGGTGTGATGTAGCAAAAGGAACATTTAACATGTTTGACAGGCATTTAAGCCTTCTGAAAGGCCTTGATGGGTAGCCCACAACCAGCGTGGCTCCCAAGTTCGAGGACTATGCCAGCCCAAGGCTGCAGTAGACCCCAGGAGTCTCAGAGTCCTCTTACCACCCCATAGCCCTTGCCACCACGTGTCCCTACAACCTCAGCTGAAGCCCTTGGCATGTCTTCAGAAACTTTTTTTTTTAAATGATTTCCAAGCAAAAGTTGAATTTTGTTTTACTCCATCAAAATCTTTTGAATGTAGAGTTCAGTTTCTTATCCATATATTGAATGTATGTTGAGTGAAATTGACATGCTGGTTTCCACGCCTGCGATAGATTTTCCCCCTGGAACTTGATGGAACTACGAGTTGCTTCTCTGTTCTATCAGGAGGAGGATTTGTAAGTGCAGGAGTGGTAGAGCTGCACTTGGAGTAAGACCCTGAGGATTTTTGTCTCCTGCCCTTGATCTCTCTCCCAACGCAGCTGTTTTGAAATGCATATGTAGCTTCTTTTATCAGTTAGGCTAGAATATGCCACAGTTCTGGTTTGCAAAACGGAGAGAGAGTTGGAAGCCTATGCCCCTGAGGAGCAGAACTGAGTAAAGCAGGTGGTGTCTGTGCGTATGGCCTCTGGATGTGAGCGCTGCTGAGTTTTGAAAAGGTTCACGTAGAATTGCTCGAATTAGGTCTATTTGAATCCGCTCATCTATAATGATCTGACTTCATTTGGGGCTATAACACAGTAAAAAGCTTTTTCACCCTAGGTTTCTGTTAAGCTTTTTTGAAAATAGATTTTATTACTGCTTATCTCAGCAAATACATGTTTATCGCAGCCCCCTTCCTCTTCCACCTGAGCGTTCCTCAGTCCCCTCTTGATTATGCGGAGAGAGGCTGGCAGAGTGAGAAGTAGTGGGATTGGAGACGGTACACTCTCCTAAGAACGCCTGATAGAGCACCCCCCCCTTACAGATCTCAGTCTTGTTCTGCACACAGCTAAATATTTTCCACAAATAATATGCAAGGCATTGTTTGATTGCCATGGAGACAAGTCTGTTTCAAACATTTACAACCCTAGTAGGAGATGACCTCTGACCTAGGTCCCAGGACTGCCTTCGGAGGAAAAACAGAGCTAGTGCCATCTACTGGGTGATGACTACATAGTTCTGTGGTTCAGGAATGTGGCTTAACACGTGGAGGAAATGTTCCCTCAGTCCACTGGATAAGAATTTTTGTGTGATGGTCTCAGCATGATGTAGAAGATCATTAGGCAGAAATGGATCCATCTAATTCTAGTTTATGAACTAGCAACACTGACATCAAAAGTAAATTCCCTTAAGCAGCTTTATTAAACCCTGAGCTGCTCCCCAAAGCTGTAGAAGCTACGGAAACACCAACTTTTGTGTTCTTGCTACATTTGTCAACAACACTGGTGGGGAGTGTAAACTCAAAAATACCTTTTGGTGGGTGGTGTTTGGGTAAAAGCAGTTGAAGGAGAACATGAAACTGCCTTTTTTTTTTTTTTTTTTTTTTTTTTGTATAATCCTAGCCAAAAGACTGATGTTGTTCCTGTAGTGATGTTAGCTTTGCAGGATGAAACCTATTCTAAATGTCCATGACAGTGTGCTTTGGTGAAAAATAGTTTTGAGTTGAGATCTTGGTTTGAATCCTAGATCCACTGTCTA